CGACAGAATAACACGAAGTGAAGATGGTAGTATCAATAATGTATGACCATCCCGTTATCACGGATAGAGAAATAAAAGCAAACAGAACCAGATATTGTTATAAAAATCACCGAAATGTGCTATATAATTGATATATCGGTACCTGCAGATAGACATGTCATACAAAAGGAGGCTGAAAAGCACTAAAATACAAATCATTACTCATAGAAGTGCAAAGAAAGTGGCATACAAAGGCAGTTGTTATTCCCGTAGTGATTGGTGCAACTGGATATGTCCTCGCAACATCCTAGATAACCTAAAAGGGATACCAGGAGATCATAATTTCTATCAGTTACAGAAGATCGCCTTATTAGGCACATCGCACATAATTAGGAAAGTTATAACATAACCAGCTCATAAACTACAAAGATCTGTACCCCTCAGGTCCTCGGCGAGGACCCGGCGTAGAGGTCAAACCGTTCCATAATATAGATAAACCGCTACTAATAGAAAACGGTCCTGTAGCGTGAAAAAAAAAAGATAATAATAATAATAATAATAATAATAATATATTATAATAATATAATAATAATAATAATAATTATAATTATAAATAATAATAACTATAATTATTATAATAATAATAATAATTATAATTATAATAATAATATAATAATGATAGTTATAATAATAATAATCATAAAAATAATAATAATAGCTATAATAATAATAATAATTTAATATAATAATAGTTATAATAATAATAATATAATAATAATAATAATTATAATAATAATAATAATCATAATAATAATAATTATTATTATAATAATCATAATCATAATCATTATAATAATTATAATAATAATAATAAGTTATAATAATAATAATAATCATAATAATAATAATAATTATGATAATAATAATAATAATAATAATAAGATTATAATAAGAATATTATAATAATAATAATCATAATAATAATCATAATAATAATAATAATAATAATAATAATATAATAATAATAATAATCATAATATAATAATAATAATAATTATTATAATAATAATAATCATAATAATAGTATTATAATAATAATAATAATAATAATACTAATAATAAAATAATAATAATAATAATAATTATAATAATAATATAATAATAGTTATAATAATAATAATAATAATAATAATAATAAAATAATAATAATAATAATAATATACCATAATCCGTCCGGCCAACTATCGGTGTCTTCCTGTAGCATTCCTGTGCGTTACCTAGCAGGATTGTTGCTGGAACATGCCGTAGGATTACCACCTTCGTAGCGTCGCTGCGCCTGGTGGTGTCCTCTTGCTACGGTAGTGTCGAAGACCGTACAGCCGGCGCCCGACCATCTGTCCACTACCTTCATCCTTTTTACACTCGGGTCGGCGTGGGACTGTTACCAACCTAGGTAGAGAAACAATCGGCTACAGACCACGACTTCATACCGCTTTCTGTAGTGAATATCCGGAGATCAAAGTATCTCAGCAGAGAGTGGCAGACCAATATCGAGTGATAATCAAAAATAATCTTATCCCACAACCACGGCTGAATGCCATCAAACAGGAAGTGCAGCTTGATCTTATGCAACAAGAAGGGAGTAATAACGAAATACGCGATAATGGTCAATCTGAGCAAGAACAGATAGAAAGTGAACAGCCTGGAGTTGACGACAGTAATGATCAAGACACAGAAATATTTGGTATATTAATAACTGAAATGGGTAGAGCATATGCCGAATTTGATGGAACGAACCCGCTAGAAAGACCACCATTACCAAAGTTGAAGTCATCTAGAAAGCTTGCTGTGGTATTGTGTCAGTTAAATAAACAGATCCTGCCAGAGTATCTAGCACACTCCAACTGTATAGAACAACTTCACACACTGATATACTGTGCAGCTGTTGCAACAGTAAGAACACTTGGTGTCAAAATGCCAACTCAAAAGATTACTGAAAATTCAGTAAAACCAATAACACCAAAATGGGAAAAAACGTCTGGAAAGAAGAACGGCAGAAATTCGCAGAGATATCGGACGTCTTACCCAATTCACACGAGGAATAACAACTCGAAAAGTCCGAAAGCAAGCTATGGAAATAATGCAACGACTCCACCATCATTCTCACCAAGACGCAACTAACATCAACGAGTGGCAATGCCTTGATACCTTGAAGCAAAAACTGTCCGTATATACTCAGCGATTGAAAAGGTATAAAGCGTCCAGTCACAGAAAGCACGACAATGCGCTCTTTCAACGATCCGAAAAGGCATTCTACAGGAAACTGTCATCCGAACCCCAGGAAAAGAGCAAAACGGTGCCCACAAAGGACCAAGTAGAGGAATTTGGGGCAAGCAGTTTGGCTCGACAGCTTATTACAACAAGTGTGCAGGATGGATTACAGATGAAGAAGCGAAGAGCCATTATTGCAATCCCATGCAGTATAGGGCATATACCAAACAAGAAATCGTGGATATCGTTAAGCAGTTGCATAATTGGAAGGCCCCGGGCCCAGACCAGATTCATGGCTACTGGATAAGAAGCTTTGGTGCATGCATGAACAACTAACAAGATATATCAATGACATGCTTTTGAATCCAAATAAGACTCCAACGTTCCTAACACAAGGGCTAACGGTATTAATACCAAAAGATCACAATAATACAGAAGACCCAGCAAAATACCGCCCAATTACCTGCCTTCCTACGCTATACAAGGTGGTCACTGCTTGTATATCGAAGCGAATTTATGCTCATTGTGAAGAAAACGATATTATTGCGCCACAACAAAAAGGCTGTGCTAAGGGAGCTATGGGATGCAAAGAACAGCTGGCTATCGACTCAGTCATCTGTAACCAAGCCTATACCAACAAAAGGAACCTATACATTACGTACATCGACTATCAGAAGGCATACGATTCTGTACCTCATGAGTGGCTTGTCAGGGTGCTGAGGCTCTATAAGGTAGATGAGCATGTAGTGGCCCTATTAGAACATATGCTGAAGACCTGGAGAACCAGAATAACACTGCATACAAACGGGACCAGCACCATTCAAACTGAGACGATCTCTATCCGAAGAGGTCTCTTTCAGGGTGATTCATTAAGTCCCCTATGGTTTTGCCTAGCTATAAATCCCCTCTCAAACCTCTTAAATGCAACAGGGTATGGATATAGTCTGAAAGATAACAGGAACGCATCCATAAAACTGAACCACTTGCTGTATATGGACGACCTAAAGGTAATAGCTGCTACTGAGAATCAAATGAAACAGCTGCTAGAGATAGTCGGTCAGTTCTCAGATGACATAAGTATGCGATTTGGGATGGATAAATGCAAAACCTTATCTATACGTAGGGGGAACATCTACCCTGGAGGATTTTCAAGCTGCAGAGGCCAAAACATTGACGCAATGGACGCAAATGACACATACAAGTACCTTGGAATGGCGCAGGCCCGAAGGATAGACCATAAAAAAATGAAGGAAGCTATATCGCAGACCTTCACAAAAGAATACGGCTACTTCTGAAAACAGAACTCAATAGTAAGAATCTAGTCAAGGCGATTAACACCTACGCATGCTCTGCCTTGAACTACTCGTTCGGTATAGTTCTGTGGAGTAAAACTGACATCGAGAAACTAGAGAGGCGGGTAAGGACTATGCTAACAAAAAAAGGAGCGCACCATCCTCGCAGTGCAATAGAGCGCACAACCTTACCCCGACAGTTAGGAGGAAGAGGTCTAATGGACATCAGCACAGCTAGCTCAACAGGTACTCGCCTTGCGATCCTACTTCTTTGAGAAGGCCGAGATCTCTGAGCTGCATCGCATCATATGCTCAATAGATGACACAACGCCCTTACACCTTAGTAGACGAGATGACCAACCGAGTCACCAAACCAACGAACAGAAGCTACAACGATGGATTGAAAAACCTCTACATGGGAGACATGCCAACGAGATTAGCCAAGAAAACGTTGACAAGAAAGCGTCAAACTATTGGCTTACCTCAGGCCAAATGTTCCCTGAGACTGAGGGATTCCTTGTAGCTATACAGGACCAGGTCATTCCTACCAACAATTACAAGAGGTTCATACTTAAGAACTTGCAACAGTCTGATAAATGCAGGTACGGCTGTCAGGACTCCGAAACAATACAGCACGTAACTGGTGGATGCCAAGCATTCGCTCCAACGGACTATAAGGAGCGCCACGACATAGCTGCCAAAATCATTCACCAGGAGTTGGCATACAAATTCAAACTGATCGAATGCAAGCTACAGTACTACAAATATACACCGCAATGTGTCCTCGAGAACGACAAGTATAAACTATACTGGGATCGCACTGTGCTTACGGACCAATACATAAAACAAAACAGACCTGACATAATCATTGTCGACAAGGACGCCCAGAAAGTAACACTGATTGATGTGGCCATACCTAATAGTAACAATTTAACATACAAACATAATGAGAAAGTTGCAAAATACAGGGAGCTAGAATTTCAAATTAAACGCCAGTGGAAAATGAAGTACGTGGAAACAATACCAATAATAATGTCATCTACAGGGGTGATACCAAGAAGGCTGCTAGAAAACATCAAAGCGCTGGAACTGAGTGAAAACATTTACAAAATCATACAGAAAGGAGTTTTGCTGGCAACTGCCCGCATAGTAAGAAAATTTATGGGAAATGCAAGTACCTAGGGAGGTCACTATTGAGGCTTACCCCTTTGATGCTTGAAGCGTCCGGGTTAAGCCAGAACACCCCGATTAACGGGAGTAACAAAGCCCTACGGCTATTTAAAAATAATAATAATAATTATAATAATAATAATAATAATAGTTATAATAATAATAATAATAATAATAATAATCATAATAATAATAATAATAATATAATAATAGGCCGTCCGGCCAACTATCGGTGTCTTCCTGTAGCATTCCTGTGCGTTACCTAGCAGGATTGTTGCTGGAACATGCCGTAGGATTACCACCTTCGTAGCGTCGCTGCGCCTGGTGGTGTCCTCTTGCTACGGTAGTGTCGAAGACCGTACAGCCGGCGCCCGACCATCTGTCCACTACCTTCATCCTTTTTACACTCGGGTCGGCGTGGGACTGGTGGAGGGGGCGGCATATGCCGACTCCTCGGCCTTTTTCTCAGCCCCACGTCGGCTCGAGTAGACCCATAACCCATCCTTGTCATTTCCATACCTTCTCTCCTTGCCCCCCACTTCGCCCGGTAATCCCAAGGTGTTGGCCATGCTGAGGGGATGGATGGCACTACATAAGTGTGTCCCTAACGGCCCCGTGTCTTCCACGTTAAAGAGGCGTGTATCCCCTACGACACAGGGGAATATGGTCATGTTAAGCAACGCACAAGGAGTGGTACCCCAGGCAGGTAGAGTTCAGGAGAGCTCAGAATCCTGTAGTATAAAAAGCCCCACGGATTCTGGGGGGGGGCAACTTAACATGTGACGCGGTAAGAGCAGGTGAATCTGCCCCTTGGAGAGAAACCGCAAGGAGAGAGGATCCGTTTAACTGGGAAAAGGCGGGACATGTCCCTCGGTTCCTAGTAATGGAAAGGTTGGATGGGGAAAACTTCAGTAAAGTGAGCCCCTTCCTCATTGCAAAGCAATTGCAAGGAGTCGTAGGAATTTAAAAAATATAAAGAAATCGAAAGAAGGATTGATTTTAGAAGCGGCAACCGACCCACAGGCGAAGCGACTGATGAAAATGGAACGACTTGGACCACATATTGTTAGAGTTAAACCACACAGAACGTTAAACTTTTGCAAAGGTGTGATCACATGTTCAGATTTATTAAACTGCTCCATCCAAGAAATCTTAACGGAACTTGAAAATGAAGGAGTCGTCGAGGTGAAAAGGATATATAAAAGGAAAGACGACAAATTTATTGAGACGTCAAGCCTAATATTAACATTCAATAGATCCCAAGTACCACGGAAAATTAAAGCAGCCTTTTACGCACTAGAAGTCCGCCCATATGTGCCGAACCCCATGCAGTGTTTTAAGTGCCAGCGATATGGGCACTTATCGACATCATGTCCGAATGATGAAATTTGTGTTTGCGGTATAGCCCCTCACACCGGACCATGCCCAGAGCCCAAGATATGTGTTAATTGCGGCTCAGAACACTCATCCCGGTATAGAAATTGCGCTAAATTCAAGGAAGAAATGCTAATCCAAAGAACAAAAACTCTAGAATCTTTTTACGCGGAAGCCAAGCGAAAAGTGATGAATCAGACGCCAAGGGTTTCATATGCACAAGTAGCTGCTAAACAAGCTGAATCCACAAAAACTGTTATGGATGAGATAGTTCCCCTAATCAAGAAAGTTATTGAGGAACAGTTTAAGAAACTTCAGCCACCAAATACAACGCCGGTAATCTTCAGACGACCCCTAGTCCCAGCACACTTAACACGAAATAAAGAGATGGATGTATCAGCGGTTTCAGATACATCCACAACTTTTAGCGAAAAAAGGAAAAGAGATTTCGTCAACTATAAAGAAAACGATCCTGATACCGACAGCTCACTCGCGAGCGCTGGTGCTGAGAGCAAAAAGAAGAAACGAGGCTGGCCGAAAGGCAAGCCAAGAAATACCAGGTCGAGGGAGGACTCCCGGGAGAGCTTGGTGGACCCTAGCTCGCCCAAGGGTCCAGACGAACAAAATGTAGAAGATCTCCATAAGTGATAGAATTCTGTGATAATTGTATATTAAACTCTAATTTATAATATTTATTACCTGTGCACGTATATACTTTTTTTTTCCTAAATTTTATTTTATACTAATTTATTACTAGTGTATAAAGTCTGTGGGTAATTCTGTGTAAAACCTTTAATTAAGAATTACTTACAATGACCACTTTAATACAGTGGAACATGAATGGATGTATAAATCGTTATCCAGAACTTAAAATGATAATCACAGAAAAGGCACCTACCTGTATTTGTGCCCAGGAGACACATTCGCTCCTGAAAGTAATTTCAACCTGCGAGGCTTTGACTGCTTCCGGAAAGATGTCATCCAACACATCGTTCGAGAGGTGGAGTAGCTACCTTCATGAAAAAAGAATTACACCCTAGAGAAATACCTTTAAATACCCCACTCCAGGCAGTTGCAGTTCGTACAATGGTGCCAATAAAATTACAATCTGTAATATCTATTTACCAGATGGAAATTGGAGCTATAACCAAATGATAGATATATTTATGCAACTGCCCTCTCCCTTTGTTGTAGTTGGCGATTTCAATGCGCATAACCCCTTGTGGGGATCACAATCCTTAGACCCTCGAGGGCAGAGAATAGAAGAGATCATAAACGAGTTAGGGCTCGTTCTTCTAAATACAGGAGAAGGAACCTCTTCAACGCTCGATCCCAAAAACTTCTCTTGCATTGATTTATCTTTGTGTAGCTCAAATATCGCACACTTGCTGACATGGAACATTCTCGAGGACCACTTACACTCCGACCACCTACCTATATGCATCAAGATAGCAGGTGATCTTCCTCAAAGCTCCATTCACCCCACCTGGCAAATGAACAAGGCGAACTGGAACTTATACCGGAGTAAAATTGTTCCTTTCGAAATCAACAATGACGTTGATGAGTCAACAAGGTCAGTAACAGAATCCATCGTCAACGCAGCCATTGCTAGTATCCCTAAGAGACAAAACTCTAATAGAAGACGCACTGTGCCATGGTGGAGCAATGAGCTATACCAGGCTCTCGAAGAGAAAAAAGAGTTACTGAGGATTTTTAGAAGAAACCCAACTATGGAAAATATGGTAGCTTTTAAGAAACAAAGAGCCAAAGCACGCAGGTTAATTTTAAATAATAAAAAATCATCTTGGGAGCAATACGTTTCTGGTATAACGAAGGACACACCCTCAAATGAAATATGGAGTAAAATTAGATCCATTGCAGGCAAACATTACCAAAACCCTCCAAATATACTAATTGTAAATAATACCGAAGTCACAGATCCTATCGATATACCCAATGCTCTAGCATCCCACTTCCAGGAATCCAGTAGCACGCAAAATTATGAACCACACTTCATAGAAACGAAAACAACAGTTGAAGCTGTAGAATTGAATTTTCAAGAATCAGTAAAATCAGACTACAATTTACCTTTCTCATCCACCGAAATGACGGACGCGCTGGAAGAATTACGTAATTCAGCGCCTGGCCCTGATTCGGTTAACTACGAAATGCTTCGAAACTTACCTGAAACAGAAAAAAATGGGTTACTGCTACTATACAATAAGATTTGGTCCGAGGGGGCACTACCAACCCAATGGAGGGAAGCAATTGTAATCGCTATTCACAAAGTAGGTAAAGATCCCAAGTATGCAAACAACTACCGACCGATCTCTCTTACTAGCTGTATTAGTAAATTATTTGAGAAAATGATAAATAAAAGGCTTGTGTGGTGGCTGGAGGTTAATAACAAGATTTCCAACCACCAATCTGGGTTTCGCAAATATAGATCTACCATTGACCAATTGGTCTACTTAGATACGGCTGTCCAACTTGCATTTGCCGAACGTAAGCACCTGATTGCCGTATGCTTCGATATTGAAAAGGCCTACGACACTACGTGGAGGCGTGGAATCATTGACACGCTGTACCATTGGGGCCTACGTGGGGAATTAATAAAATTTATCCATAATTTCATGCAGGACCGTTATTTCAGGGTTCGGGCTGGAAATATTTTTTCAACCAGCCGAACACAAGAGAATGGAATACCTCAGGGTTCAACCCTGAGCGTTACTTTATTCTTAGTAGCAATTAACCGCTTGTTGGAAGTAGTAGACCCCGAAGTTGGCAGTTGCCTATACGTAGACGATATGACCATATTCTATTCGTCCGTCGATCTAGAACACTTGAAAGACACACTTCAAAGGGCTATTGACCAGATTGCTACCTCTGCTGAAAACATGGGCTTTAAATTTTCCACCTCTAAAACAGCTTGTATCCACTTTTGTCGACTACGAAGGTCACACGACGATCCGATATTGACACTGAAAGAGACCCCCAATACGATACTGCGATAGTATTAGAATACTTGGGCTAATTTTCGACAAAAAACTATACTGGAAGGAACACATACAGGACCTAGCTACCAGATGCAAAAGAGCCACAAATATTATAAGATGCTTATCGAATATATCATGGGGAGCAGACAGAGAAGTACTTTTAACCCTCTACAAAACATTGGTTCTATCTAAAATGGAATACGGAATGTCTTTGTTCGCCGCAGCAAGGAAGTCACACATCAGAATCTTAGAAAAGGTCCATAACCAGGGAATCCGACTATGCATAGGAGCTTTCAGGACAAGCCCCGTAACATCTATATATTGCGATGCTGGTATTCCTCCTTTATCATACAAAATACAAGTTTCAACACTAAATTATGCAATCCATGTGTGGGCACAACCAAATCACCTGAATCACTGCATTATCTTCAATGACGAAGTAAACTCGCTTTATCATAATCGACCAACTATTACTAGGCCAATTGGAGTAAGAATACAAGAACAACTCAGGACCCTTGGGTATTCCCTTCCAAATGTATACCCTATTGGCTTCTCCAGAACACCACCCTGGTGTATTTCCCAACCAAAAGTACTTCTTGAATGCTCCTCAAATAAGAAAAGCGAAACTAACCCTTCTGTCTTTGTCCAATCCTTCCTAAACGTAATTAATACCTACGACTACCACTCCGCTATCTATACAGATGGCTCGAAAACTCAAAATAGTGTAGGAAGTGCATTTACAGACGGTGAGAATGGCCGAAGCTTCTCCCTAAACCCGATGTCATCCGTTTATCATGCAGAACTTTACGCAATCATAAAAGCGTTGCAGTACATAGAAAATAAAGAAGATGGTACCTACCTTGTATGCTCTGATTCCAAGAGCTCTTTAGAAGCAATTCAAAAACCCTACAGTACTGATCCTATGATCCAAATGGTGCTAGACTTACATCACGGTCTCAAACTAAGGAGAAAGGACATCATCTTCGTATGGACACCAGGACACGTGGGAATTCGTGGCAACGAACTTGCGGACCAAATGGCGCGGAATCCCCAAGTGGCAGCTTCACTTGAAGACCGCACTGTCCACCCAAGTGATCTCAAAGCACACCTGAAAAATAAAATACTGGATGAATGGCAACGCACCTGGAGCCAAGGAAATGATAAATTGAAAGTACACAAACAACACATCAACAAGTGGTACTTACCCTCCTCGTTATCAAGACGGGAACAAGTTGTCCTAACGCGTTTGCGAATAGGACATACAAATCTCACACACCTCCATCTTATCGTAGCGAATCCCCCGCCTCGATGCAGAACATGCAACAACCAACTATCCATAGAACACGTTCTGCTCGAATGTCCTTCCTATTATCAGGCTCGCCAACGCTATCGTATACCAAACACAATACCCGAGTGCTTCAAAGATGAGGCCCACATCCTGCGAGTCTTAGATTACCTGAAAGATATAAATATATTTAAAAAATTTGAAAATTGTAATTCCAAGTGAAGAACGAACCTTATTTTATAACGAATTGACCCAACACATAGGAAACCTATGATCCGGGATGCCCTGGAACAAAACAAATATGGATCAGTATCTATACTACATGTTGTAGGAAAGTACTTACTTACCTGTGTATCTTGCCTGAATACGAATGTGTGTACACGAATGTGCAAAACAGCTGCTGAGGAATATCTGAAAGATGGAAAGGAACATACATATTACGTACACAAATAAATCAAATATGCTATTGAGACTTTCCCTGAAACGAAAAGAAGCACCCAGATCTACCCCTGGGTGAGAATTAATGACCTATATGGGAGGAGGGATACGGCAAATGACCTCAGCAGTCGACGCCGTGAAATAAAAAAAAAAAAAAAAAAAATAATAATAATAATAATTATAATTATAATAATAATAATAATAATAATTATAATTATAATTATAATAATAATAATAATAATGGTAAACAGGGCGCAGGTGTAGTGAGGGCTCCTACCCTTCGGAAGCGTCAGGAAGATGAGCCTGTAGCGGGGCCCAGTGGATTGTGTGGCACTGCCTCGCGAAAGGATTCCACACAGAGGCAAGTCCTGGACAAGAGAAGGGATGATACACCGCAACTTCGTGATAGTCACCACACGGAGGAAACTCAAAGTGGACTACTCGAAGTACTGGAAACAAGTATCTCAGCCGAAAAGACCAGGGGTAAAAGAATACCCTGGAGTGAAGAAGAGTTGAGAGAAGTGATGTGGTGTTATCATTACTGTAGGCTTACTGATAGGAATACCTATGTTGCAGTCTATAAGATGTGGAGAACGCGCAACCCAGACTCCAGACTTAACATCGATGCAAACAAACTGCAAAACCAAAGAAGGTACATCCAACAGAATAAAAGGTTATCAGAAGAAATCATAAATGAACTGATTGAAAGCATTAAAGAAACGATCGATAGAGAAAAGACAGTAGACCATCACGATGTCGCACAGGTACCGGAAGAACATGTTGAAGAATCTGACATGCACAAAGAAATAAAGGACAAATATCTAAGCCTGATTGAAAAAAGCATATCTGAACGTGACTGTCTGCCCAGAATATATACTAGTAAAAGAGCAAAACGACTCATCGAGGAAGGCAACTGCATAGTTAGCAACATATTGCAAACAATGGGACAGAAAGACCTAATAAAGATAGATTGCCTCATTTATGCTACAGCATATGTGATTACATCAAAATTAGTAAAACCGACAGCGCGAAGAAGAATAGCTGGGACCCCAAAGCAAACACCTAACTGGCAGAGGCGGCTAAGTAATAAAGTTTTGAGCCTCAGGAGAGACTTATCGAATTTAGTTCACATACAAAATGGCAGGCTGTCCGCAGAGTCGGCTAAAGGGAAGATGCTGTTAAACAAATACGTCACAGAAGGAAAAACGCTAATAGAGAAGATAGAGGTAATGAAACAACAAATCTCGGCCACTGCTCAAAGACTCAGAAGGTACAAGAATCGACAAGAGCAGCACAAACAAAATAGTCTCTTTAATGTCAATCCCAAAGCATTTTATAGGGAGCTGCGAGAAGGAAAAAGGGAACCTATTGAAGCTCCAGCCATCTCTACAACTGAAACGTATTGGAAAAGTATTTTCGAGAAAAGTGTTAACCACAACGAGAACGCAAAGTGGCTGAAAAAGGTAGAAAGGGATAGAGCCACAACTATGTGCTGGCAAAATATCAGTGTCGTGGAAGTCAGATCAGCACTGCAGCAGGCCCAAAATTGGAAAGCCCCTGGTATAGACCAGATACCTAATTTCTGGCTGAAACATCTAGTGTCTACACACGAAACAATAACAATGATATATAATAGTTACTTCGATAACGGAACAGATATCCCGAACTGGCTGCCAAAGGGTAAAACATACCTTCTTCCAAAGTCTGGAGATAGTAAGGACCCCAAAAATTACAGGCCTATCACCTGTCTGAACACCTTGTACAAATTGTTAACTAAAGTAGTAGCCAGCAGAATATCTGATTATGTAAATGATAATAAGATAATACCAACTGAACAAAAAGGCTGTGGCAAGGGCTCTTTTGGTTGCAAGGATCAGCTACTCCTCTCGAAAGCCATTGTAGAAGATTGTAAAGAGAACAAAAAAATCTTAGCATTGGATGGATTGATTATAGAAAGGCATTCGACAGCGTCCCGCACAGCTGGCTCCTGAAATCTCTGAAGCTTATAGGAACATCTGAGAAGATCATTGATCTATGTAAGCGATTGATTTCGCTATGGAGTACTACCCTGTTAGTCAGTAATAAAGGGGAAGAAATAGAGTTAGGACCCATACAGATAAAAAGAGGTATATATCAAGGTGATACCTTGTCACCTCTTCTGTTTGTGATTGCGATGGTTCCTTTAAGTACGCTGCTCAACGAGGCCAACCTAGGTTACCAACTTAAAGGAGCAAATGATTGTCTCTCCCATTTGCTATATATGGATGACCTGAAGCTCATATCTCCCAGCCAAAACAAACTGAAAACGTCTCTCAATATTGTAAAAAAATTTAGCGACGACATACAGATGAGCTTCGGTCTCGATAAGTGCGCTGTAGTCACTTTCAGGAGAGGAATGCATTATGACTCTGCTAATATAATAGTTGATGAAGGACAGACGATCAAATCACTAGAACATGGCGGAGTGTACAAGTACCTGGGAATTAAAGAAGGCCCACACATCACCCACGATTCACTGAAAGTTGATATTAGACATGAGTATATAACGAGAGTACGTAAAATTCTGCAAACTCAACTCACGTCTAGAAACAAGATAACAGCAATTGGAGCTCTTGCCATACCAATCATGCAGTACAGCTTTGGTATAATCAATTGGACATTGGATGACATAAGACAAATGGATCGCAAAACAAGAAAACTAATGACAACACATAACATCCTTCATCCCAAAGCAGACATCGACAGATTATACGTGCCACGAAAGAAAGGGGGACGAGGACTAAAGCAAATAGAAGAAACGTACAACAATACTATCTTCTCAGTAGGGCAGTATATTCAAACTAGATCTGAGCAAGACCGCCTACTACAGATGTTACTAGCACATGACAATAGGAAACCAACAAATAGATCTATTGTAAAGCGTAGTAATAAGATCAAATTAGAAGCTGCGGAAGCCGGACATACGGTCGAGCGAGGTAACAGGTCCATCAAACTGTACTTGAAGCAATGTGTCGAAGAGAAATGGCGGAGTAAGCCTCTACACGGACAGCATATCCGTCAAATGGAGGAGCTTCCGGTTGACTTAAGACTGTCATTTGGATGGTTACAATACGGAGATTTAAAAGGGGAAACCGAAAGCTTGCTGGTGGCAGCACAAGACCAAGCCTTGAAAACGCGTTACATTGAGCAAGCAATACACAAGACGAGGAATGACGGTAAATGCAGATTGTGTCACATTCACAATGAAACTGTTGAACATATAATATCTGCATGTCCAATACTAGCGCCAAAAGAATATACTGACAGGCACAATAATGTCTGCGCAGCCATCCATCTAGAAGTGTCTCGCCACCTTGGTTGTCCAATAAAATCGACGAAATGGTATGAGCATCACCCCGACAGAATAACACGAAGTGAAGATGGTAGTATCACAATAATGTATGACCATCCCGTTATCACGGATAGAGAAATAAAAGCAAACAGACCAGATATTGTTATAAAAACCACCGAAATATGCTATATAATTGATATATCGGTACCTGCAGATAGACATGTCATACAAAAGGAGGCTGAAAAGCAAATAAAATACAAATCATTACTCATAGTAGTGCAAAGAATGTGGCATACAAAGGCAGTTGTTATTCCCGTAGTGATTGGTGCAACTGGATATGTCACTCGCAACATCCTAGATAACCTAAAAAGGATACCAGGAGATCATAATTTCTATCAGTTACAGAAGATCGCCTTATTAGGCACATCGCACATAATTAGGAAAGTTATAACATAACCAGCTCATAAACTACAAAGATCTGTACCCCTCAGGTCCTCGGCGAGGACCCGGTGTAGAGGTCAAACCGTTCCATATAAGATACCGCTACTAATAGAAAACGGTCCTGTAGCGTGAAAAAAAAATTTAAATAATAATAATAATAATAATAATTGTAATTATTATTATAATAATAATAATAGTTATAATAATAATAATAATTATAATTATAATAATAATAATAATAATAATACTAATAATAATAATAATAGCTATAATAATAATAATTATAATAATAATAGTTATAATAATAATAATAATCATAATAATAATAATAATAATAGTTTAGTTTGTTTAGTTTAGTTTATTGACTACATTACATACATTATTGTACATTTGAAGTCACAGATTTTTGCCTTATAAATATAGATACAAACTTAATATAATCATCGACACTGTAAAAACACTTGTCTATGAGAAAGGTCTTCACTAGTCTACTGAATTTGTAGACATTCATATTCACGTCATGTTCTGGGTAACAGTTCACAAATAAACTGTACAATGTGACATGCGGTTTGTTCAACTTGGATAAACGTACTCTAGAAAAAGGAACTATGAGGTTATTTGCTGTCCTGGTATCATGATCATGAACATCGCAATGCGTTACATATTTATGGAGGCTTTTATGAATGTGTAAAAGCGTTTCATATATAAAAATGCTTGGTAGTGGTAAAATTCGGTGTTTCCTAAAAAGTGGTTGGCATGGTGTGCCTTATTTCGAACCATCAATTATGCGTACAGCTGCCTTTTGGAGGGTGAACGCTCTGAAAGATCCAGAAGCATTCCCCCAAAGGAGGGCACCATACGACAACTGACTGTGGATCAGGCTGAAGTAAACTGTTTTTAGATTACGTTTATCCAAATATTCACTCATCCGTCGAATTGCAAAGATTTGCGCGGATAACCTGGAACAGACGAGATCAATGTGCGGTGACCAAGTAAGCGCCGTATCCAGTTTAACTCCTAGGAGTTTAACAGGATCAGACGCAGGTTGACACTTATCACAGCTGAACACGATAGAAGATGTTTTGGCGTCATTCAGCTTCAGTTTGTTCACCGAGAACCACTTCCTTGCCTGTTCCAAGCCATCAACGCTCAACTCCTGCTGACCCCTTGTTGATAACGTCATGTCGTCTGCGAACATAAAACACAAACTGTGATCTATTGACGCAGGCAGGTCATTTATGTAGATGAAGAATAAAAGGGGACCCCACACCGAGCCCTGGGGAACTCCGTTATCAACAGGGAGCAGAGTAGAGTCGTAACCATTGCAACTAACATATTGTTTCCGGTTAGTCAGGTAGGATCTGAACAGACTTAATTCAGTACCCCGTACACCGTAGTACACCAGTTTTAGAAGCAATATGCTAGTATTGACACAGTCAAAGGCCTTAGTAAGATCGCACACAGTAGTAAAGGTTTTGAGACCACTATCAAGGCCATCAACAACATATTCCACTAAATCAAGTAACTCTTTGATTGTGGAGCTTCCCTTCCGAAATCCATACTGGCATGTGGATAGTAATGAATTTCTTTCGAAATATGATAATAGCTTGTCCTTTAGCAGGATTTCAAAAACTTTCCCTATGATGGGCACAATGGCTATTGGCCGATAATTAGATGGGTCATTCGCATCACCCGATTTATGAAGAGGAAGAATCTTTGAAATCTTGAGCGAGTCTGGCCAAACCCCTTCAGAAATGCACTTATTGTAGAGAACTGAAAGTGGTTCAACAAGAGACTCAATAGCTTTTTTAAGCATTGAGCTATTCAAACTGTAGTAGTCCAAGCAATGAGAGTTACTAAGCTTGAGAATAGCTTCGGCAACATCAGACTCTACAATTGGAGCCATAAAGAAAGACATAGATGGTTTTCGGACCTTGTTCAGCAATGTAAGCGGGGCAACACTTTCATTGTCAATTGAGCATACTATCTCCTTTGAAACTGTGGCAAAAAATCTATTGAAGCTATCTGAAGATACTATATGATTGGACTTTAATCGATTACGTTCTGAATTAACTATTTGCCAAACTGTCTTGTTTTTATTATTAGTTGTCAGTATTCTTCTGGAATAGAAGCTCCTTTTTTCCAGTTTAATTGCTCGTTTATATTCATAGCGGCAGTTCCTGAAGGCCAGCCAATCTTGCTCTAACCTTGTTGATCTAAAAATTTTCTTGTATCTAAATAATTGCTTGCGCATATATTTGAGCCTCTTTGTGAACCATCTCAAACCATTATTCCTATTATCAATTTTCCGCAAAGGAAAACAGGCGTCAATTTCTAAATTTAGAGCATCGAGTATTGAATTTGCTAGATTATCAGCAGTACGCGTATTACTCTCAGGAAAAGACCAGTCAAAATCGTGAAGCTTGCTGGCGAATAACGATAGCCCCTTGCTAGTAACGTTTCTTATCTTAAAAGAGCTACTACAACGGGCTTGCTTGATTGATGGAATAAAAATGTAAACTCCACAATGATCAGAAAGGTTGGGATCAAGAACACCGGTAATACGGCTCTTAATGTCGATATTCGTTAGTATATTATCTAGGCAGGAACTGGTGGAGGAAGTGATACGCGTAGGCTGGCTAATACAATGTGAGAGACCATATGATGAAAAGGCGTTAACAAAGTCAAAAGCAATAGGCGAGCAACTGGTAAAGTCTAGATTCAAATCGCCGACTATGATTATATTTTTATACCTAGAATACAAATAATCAATCATAAGGACTAGTTTGTCTTTGAATATGGCTATATCACCACAAGAGGATGACCTGTATGTGGTGATTACAGCCATGTTTTTAGATGGAGCTGCAATTCCACAAAACTCTGCATGAAATGGTATACAAAAGGTGCTGAGATCAATATCTTTATAATCTGAATGACTGTTAACCAAAATTGCAACGCCACCATGCGCATTTGCTGGCCTACAGTAAGAAGAAATAACAGAGTAACTATTAAAATTAATCGAGTCCAATCTATCACTGTCCAGCCAATGTTCCGATAAACAAATGATATCAAAGGAACATTCACTCAACGACAAACACAGCTCATCTACTTTGCTAGATAAGCCTTGGATGTTCAAATGCATTATTGAGAGACCACATGCAGTAGAGCAGCCCTTCTCTGAAGAATGGGAGGGCGCACTTCTCTTGAATGCCGACCCTCGGCACCATTTTCTGACCTCTTGGGATCTCCTTTCGTGTTTCTTGCAAGAAAAAACCGGTTTAACAAAACACCTGTAGGCCAGATGTTACTGTCGATAATTATGGAAGCTTCGTCGACTGGAACTTAAACCTTGAAAGATGAGTACCTCTCCGGATATCTGGCTGTCAACCTCTCGACCTTTACACTTGGAGCAACTGCTTTCAAATAATCAGAGAGAACCACTTCATCTGTTTGTGGATCAAGGCGCGTTACATGATAGAGTCTTACAGAATTCGAAGTAGCAGCCTTTAAGGGACACCCTTGCATTCCAGACATACTACCTACTAGTAAATTTTTGGGTTTGCTTTTGCTATTATCTACATAGATTTTCTTATCGTAATCATTATTCATATTTATTAAAGTGCTGCAAACACTGCTGGTCTAGGCGCTGTGTATCGCTCCGGCAACCAACGATTTCTTTATAGGCTGCTTTCCAAAGGTAAGATCGCTGCCATGTGTCGTCGCTGTAGGTGGATTAAGGATTTTCTCCGATGACTGCGATTCACGTGATGCCATTAAATTCGGCTTATTGTTTGTCATACCTGGCGCTGTAAGAGTCTGCTTAGTTTGTTTCAGCATGGCGATTTGTTCAGTTAAAGCCGAAATCGCTATTTGCTGGTTTTGTATTGTTACCTGCTGAGCTTCTATAATAGCGTCCTTATGCTTTAAAAGCTCTTCTAGATAGTAGATTCTATCTTTGCCAGCAAGCCCTTGACAATCAGGTGGAACTGGCGACTTGGGTGCAATCGGGTCATCGCTACATTTACTACAGCAAATTACCGAATCTTCGTTGATAAACTTAGCTTTAATATTTTCCAAACAGGATTTATGAGACATCTTGCTACACAGCACACACCTAGGACCAGTTTTTACTATCTTCCTACAGCGGACGCCAAATTGATTGCCATCAGCCATCTTAACTTTTTGGCGAGTAGTGTGTATAGATATCGCCGCCGGCAAACCTGCTTGGCACTTAGTAATAAAAAGTGCCAGCACTTACTCGGAAAAAGGTCTAAGTGCCGTTATATTATGAGCATCAAGTGACAAAAAGCACAATTGTACACTTCTTCACTTACGTGTCCCTGGTAACAGGACAAATTTGCTGAAGGTTCTTTAATACACGACTCACCGATCAGCACTACCACAGGCGGCTACGCCCCACGAGACAAGCAATGGTAGCAGTGGGGCCTCTGTGATAAGGATGTTAGACGTAGACAAACAACTATCAATTACGGCCTCTAGCCGCACAACTTGAATTGAATTAAACACAAGTACACCTGCAATCACAAGAATAATACCCAATAAGAAGTTCGGGAAAACACTCGCGACGCGAAAAACTTAATAAAACGATTTAAAAGCCCGAATAATAACACACACGTCGTGCAATCTCCTCCGATCGTATAATAATATTAATTATTATAATAATAATAATCATAATAATAGTAATTATAATAATAATAATAATAATAATTATAACAATCATAATAATAATAATAATAAGTTATAATTAATAATAATAATTATAATTACAATAATAATAATAATTATTATTATAATAATAATAATCATAATAATGATAATAACAATCATAATAATAATAATAATAATAATTATAAGTATAATAATAATAATAGTTATAATAATAATAATAATAATAATAATTATAATAATAGTAATAACAATAATTATAATAATAATAATAATAATTATAACAATCATAATAATAATAATAATAATAATAATAATAATAATAATAA